TAGACTGTCACTCCAGCAGAGCAGGGGTCATGTTCATTTTGCTTAATACTATACCCCTGTATCTGCCCCAGTTCCTGCTGTGTGTTGGGCCCTAAATAAAAATTGTTGAGTGACTGATTGAGTGAAAGATTGTTGACTGAGTGACTACTGCAGAGATAAAATAAGGTAATAGACATAAAAACACTTCATAAGTCCTATAGTGGTATATGCAGGGAAGTATTATTATTGAACAAGTGGGGAATGTATGGACTGTCCAAAACTGAAGTTACTCAGGTGTGTTAAGCTACTAGAAGATAGTTGACAAATACATCTCAAATATGCATATATCCTTGGGGTAGCCCAGGGTTGCAGTTCAAATGGGAGATAGGGTAGAGAGGTAATTGCTGCCCTAACAGAAAAAAAGGAGAGAATTAAGGCAGTGGTGTTAGAAAGGCTTGGAATATTCCTAGGCTGAAAAGAGTTACACATCAGAGAGGAATCTTGTGCTCACTCATTATAACAAAACAGCTTTTATTGTCTGGCCAAGGTCATTGGAATCCAAGTTGGATGTGAATTTTCCTGAGAAGTCATTACTTCCTCATGTGTTTTATATTTATTTATAATTCCATCAAGTATAAAAAATGACTTAAGACAGAACTTGTCAAAATAGACCATCCCAGATTTGAACAGGTCAAATAATTCATCTCATAAATGGGAGAACGAGAGAAATGATGTGTCTAAGGTAACTAGGCTAAAGGTGATATTCAGTGCCAGCCACATTCCTAGCACAGCCTTCTGAATCATACATAGCTAGAAACACTAAGAATGCTGACTTATAGCGAGAATGAAAAATGAACAGATACATAGAGACAGTAAGAACAAAAGTAGAACCACTTCTTGGATTTCCTGTAGCTCCCCATCTCATGGTCTAGCTCAGTTCAAGTTCTAGCTACTTACCCTTTGATTCTGACAACCCACATCCTTGAAATAAATTTCTCTTTATAGCTCAGCTAGTGGGGTTGTCTTCTCTTCATGGAAACCAGGAGTCATAAGCAATCCAATTACAAACCAGGAGCTCCTGGAGGGTTTATGTGTTTCTACTGCCCCTTTCACTGACACTGGTGTCCTTCACAGATGGAGTAATCAGTAAATGTAAGATGTTGATACTGAAGCTTCAGGAATCTTTCCTAATGTCTGCTCTCTAAAAGTGGCTCTCCTTTTCCAGACATCTTTTCCCATAAGGATCTTGTACTATAATTGCCAATACATTTGTCCCATCTTCCTCTCCAATGTTCCCAGCATAACCCGTAGTGGTTCCCACCCAGGACCAGGCAGTGGGGGACACAAAGGGGACAGAGACTTCTGTATTAGAACTGTAAGCTTGCTTATTGCACCTTGTTCATCAAGCATGAATTGTAAGTTACTCTATCAATGTTAAAGAAAGTGGAAGAGAACATAATCACCATCCTTAGACTTGTGACAGAAAGATAAGTAGAATATAGTTTCAGCCCTTAAAATGCTTGACACAAACACACATATATAGAACATAATTTAAATGTTTTAATAGATAAAAGTACTCAGTCCCCTCAGAGTTTGGGGGCTCTGCTGGGACTTCAGAGAGTGGGAGGCACTGGAATTGGGTTGTGAAACCTGCGTGGGATTTCCCCAGATGCCAAGAGTCAGGAAGAAGGGTATTCTGAGCAGAGGAAATAACAAGTACAGTGACAAAGAGGGGTGGACAGATGTGGCAAGGATTACGGACTATACTTCATCTGGAATGGCTAGACTAGCATTTCTCAGAAGATGCTCTGGAAACAAAAATGTTCTATGGTCAGTAAGTATGGAAAAAATGCATCTTATATTCCTATTTAGAAATGTAAAATACACATGTGCCTAACAGTCGGGAGGCTACAAGGACAGTCAGAGAATATGGCGAAGGGCCTGAAGGGGGACAGTGGACACAAGTACAAAGGAGAATGCATGTGAGAGGGTTCAGGGGAGCACAGTCAGATTTTCTAAATGCAGAAGAACGGGTTTACAAGACAAGGTTTGAGCTTGTTGGAGTGAATTGGTGGCAATGCAATGTGAGAAGAAAAGGGAAGTATTTGGGGAAGATAGCACAGGTTTTGCTTTAGTGTATTGAATGTGAACTGACTGTGAGGTAATTATGTGAAGATGTCAACAGATGACTGACAATACAGCTCTAGGTTCCAGAAATGATGTTGTAGTTCAAGAAGATGGTGGACAACCATTATAAATGTTATAGAAATGACTGAGCACTAGACAAGGCAGTGGATTAGATCAGCTCCATGGTCTCTTTCTGCCCCTATGTGGCCTCCACAACAATCATCCAGAGGGACCCACACTAATGAAGATAGATGGTCCGTCCTCTGCCTGCTGAGTACATACAAGTGTATAACCTCCTGCAGCTGATCATGGAACTAATGGCTGCACATGGGAGCTTGATACAGCTACATCCCAATGCAAGGAGGTGGTTTTTAAAGAAATGCATTTCAGAAGTAAAACTCTGCAGTGGTTCTGATAAGATGGTTCCCTTTCTTTGCCTGGACATATTGAGGAGAACACACAAGGTATTTAAGAACAATCATGTTCCTTGAAATGTACTTCACTGACCCTTCCTAGGTATCGGTGCAGCCTGGGAGAGTAGAGAGAGCACTTGGGATGGGAGTCAGGTGGCTTATGATCCAGTCCTGACTGTGCCAATAAATCACTGTATGTCTGATTTAGTCCTGGACATATAATTAAATCACTATATGTCCTTGTGAAGATTACTTCCCTCCTCTGTGTTTCCATGCCCCTATTTACACATCTGTTAAAAGTGTGTTTAAATAATGATACATGCTCTGCTTATTCCCAGGGCTGTCAGGAGCATTCAATGAGATGGGCTTGTTTTGTGGGAAAAAAAAAAAAAGACATTAGTAATGGAAACTGCTTGTTCTAAATGCACATTCTCAACTGTTAGAGCTACAAGAGACCCTGAACACTGAGTAATATAACATGCTCATTTTGCAGATAGGAAACCAAGGCCCAGAGAGGACAGGTGATTTATCCAAGGTCAGACAGGCAGCAGTGTGGAGCCAACATACAGATAGATGGGTACTCTTCCTTCCAAGCACCACTGCCTTTTAAAGGCCAAGGGCTGGGAGCAATGTTGGGAAGAAATGATAGGCTGGAAAGAATATGTGGTTGAGTAGCCAACCTATGGAATTCAGAACCCCAAGCAGCAAATACAGCCTGCAGTGTGAGTCAGCCAGCTAAAACTAGTTGCCCCAAATTTCTCTATCAAGTGGGCAATCTACTTTTGATTGTGTCAAGCTGAGTTGGCCACAGCTGAGTCTATTGAGCCCCCAGCTCAATAACTTTAACAGACACTAAGCCATTTTGTGAAGGTGAATGTTTTAATATTGATATATTCACTGACTTGATTAGAAATTCAGACATAACAACTTTATCCTCTCCTTTCTAATCCCAGAAGAAATGTTCTACATGGAGGACAGTCAGCTGTTCTTATTCACAAAACTTGTAACACCAAATGTATTGGGAGGGTTTCCTACACCAACATTAAGTGTAGGAATCATTAAGTACTCGGAGTCAAGTGCAGACCCCACAGGTTCAGAGCTGGTTTCCACAAGACCACCTCTACTCCAAAGGCCTGTCTCACTGCCGTTACTTCTAACCAACTGGTTTTAAATTCATGGGGTTCCACAACCCTCTCCTCAAGTTTGTTAATTTGATAGAACAACTCACAGGATTCAGGAAAACATGTATGGTTTCTTACGAAAAAATACAAGTCAGAAAAAGCCAGATGGTTGAGCTACAGAGGGCGACATACAGGGGAAGGAGCATGGAGCTTTCATGTCCTCTGAGCACAGTACCTCTTGTGGTACCAAACCCCATTGCTTAGCAGTTGTGACAGAGGTTTTATTACTTTGGTCTGACTGATTAAATTATTGTCCATCAGTGACTGACTCAAGCTCCAGCCTCTTTCTCCTCTCCTCTCTCCAGAGGTTGGGAGATAGAGCTGAAATTTCCAACCCTCTAATCACACCTTGATCTTTCTGGTGACTTGCCCTGGAATCTAGAAGCCCCCAGTGATCTCATTAGGGGGGGAAAAAAAGGACATCTCCTATCACCAAGGAATCTCAAGTGATTTGAGAGCTCTGTGGCAGAGATTGAAAAGTGCTCTTATCATCCCTTTCATTTAAGGAATTGTAAGGGTTTCAGGAGCTCTATGCTGAGACTCATGGACAATGACAAAATATATATCTCTTATTATGCCACAGGAACCATAATTACTTTCCTAAGCTGTCACAATAGTCTTCTAACTGACCTTTTTGGATCTTTCTTCCCCTTCATCTCTTCTTTCTCACAGTTGTCATTATCTTCCCATAGAGTAACTACCAGTACTTCTACCTTCCCCATCTTCACAGCTTACTGAACAAAGCCCCAAAATCTTCATCTTGATATTCAAATCCCTTCCAGGTCTCAATCTCTCTTCTAAGGTTTATTTATTCTACTCCCTTGTTTGTTTGATACACACCCAGCTAAACCTGGACTCACTGCTAAATCCTGAATACACACAGGTCTTTCTTCAATCTGGTCTCTCAAGCTGGTAGAACATTTTTCAAGATCCACCTGTCACCTATGCACCCTAATGGCCTCATGCTTTTCCTGTTTCCATTATGTTTTTCCCCTAATATTGTGATGCATGTGCTTGTCTCACTTTCTCATTAGATGATCCTTATGTCAATTTATCACTCCATCCTCCACAGTGCTCAGCCCAGTGACTAGAAACCAAGTCTCAGCCAGAAAAACAATGTATATTATTTGAGGAAAATTAAATACATACACTACACCAGAAGTAAAGACCACTATAAAAAACAGTAAAAAATTATAAAACAACCAGCATTGGCTAAAGATGAAAGCATTTCCAGACAGCTTCACATTGGAGTTGAGTAGTAGTTGGTTTTCCAGAAAAATACTTGGAAAAATTGTTTTACCTTTTCCCCATCTTGTCTGTTCAGTTGTTTTGAAGTCTGTAAAGTGGCCAATATCTCCCATCAGAGCTGTGTTTCCTTTCCAGACAGGAAGACGGCTACTAAGTAGAGAAGCCACGCTTGTTTTTGAGGTCTCAGCTGCAACAGTGACTCATCCAGTGAAGCCAGAGGCTGTCTATTTTGATCTTTCTATGTTCAGAGTCTATTTACAGTTGTAATTTTCTTTCTTTCTTTCTCTCTTCCCTCCTCTGGTGACTTATCGGAATGGTCACACATTTGACAAGTGGAACCTGTATAGAAAAAGCGAGAGCACAATTGAACACGCTTTCAGCGAAAGCCTACGAATAAATGCTTGTGTTTACAGCTCTGATGATAGGGTTCCAGTAATGACTTGGCCTTTTCTCCTTGATTGAATATTCCCCTGAGCCTGCCAGTCTGGGCTCCTGTTATTTAATGAGGACATTGGAGCACAACCTCAAGATGTCTGCAAAAATGACCTTTTCTTTGGGCTTTTTCCAAATGCAGAGAAAAGGAGAGCCCAAGTTAGACAGGGTGCTTCAGGGACACAGCCTTGGAATGCACTCTTTCCCCGAGAAGCTCAGAAGCCTGAAATCACATACTGTCAGAGCCGAGAGAACCATGGAGATGATCTGGCTACACGTTTTCATTCTGCAGCTGGAGAAACCCAGAGCCAGAGGGGAAAAGCAAGTCGCCATAAATCACATGGCAGGCGCAGTCACAACACATGCATACTTGGAACCTACGACTCTTAAGTTGTAGTCAGTGTTCTTTGGAATGGTTTAAGACTAAATGTAACAGCTGACTAAATTGCTGCTTAAATAGAGAAAAAACTTCTACTGTCCTGATGACAATGTGGCAGCGCTGGGCTTTCCTTTCCCTGTGCTCAAGATGAAAGGCTAGCAGCATGAGCAAAGGAATTGGCCTCTCATCATAAGCTCAGTGTCTCACTGTCAGTTTTGAAAACCATCACAGAATTAGTATAAGAGACTGTGGTAGAGGGTCTTCATTGGGACAGCCTCAGAGGTCCCAGATCTGCCTCATTCACTGTATATCTGCATTTTGGCTTCACCTGCAAAATACGGAATAAGCTTATGATTGGAAGTGTTCTTCTAAAGTTCAAATGAGACAGTATGACCACTCTACTTACACTAATAAAAAATGTCAGAACTATCACCTACCAGAGGCAAAATAGCTTAAGGTGAAAATCACACTCTAGAATCAGAGCATTTGGGTCCAATGTCTAGATCCACCACTGTTAGTAAAAATGGCATAATGAAATAAATCTCATTTTCCTCATCTGTAAAATACAGGTTATTATCTGCATCTCAAACTTATCTACATTTGAGTAGGAATGTTAATGAAAGACTATGGTAGTTGGAATACACTCTACTGTTGGGAAGATTTCTTTTTTTCTTGGTGGTATTAGTGCAATGGAGCTAAATTCTCTTTGTATCAGCCTTCCTCACGGGGCTGTCCTAAACAATTACATGCTGCCTGAATATGCAAATGATTCCTTCATTTGATGTAAGCTAGTAAACCGCTGACCCACACAAGGAGAATCTACATTTGTCCCTAGTCGAATCTCATTACACACCATACAAAGGGACAATTAGTGTTCTCTTTAAAGTTGTCTTTTTGCTTTATTGACTACTGGTTAAAATAATTGGCAAGAGTTTGAGAACTTTTTGACCATGCCAGTCCTTTATCCTCTCATGATATTTGGTCACTGGGATTTTACTTGTATTGTCTGTTGCAGTCACCTGTTAAGAAAAAAAAAGCACCAAGAATAGAAGTTTAACTTTTCCAGGCACTATGTATAAATTAATTCCCAATTTCCGAATGAGAAGTAATGTTGAATTCTCTAAAGTCTCATAATCTCTTTCAAGGAGGAAGGAAGTTATGGGTCCCAAGTGCAGTCAAACAGTTGTCTTCTAGTTGAGTTCTTTTCTCTATGAATGAGGAAAAAGAGGCTATAATACTTATAACCCTATGGACTCAGGCATCATGATCTCTCTCACATGTATCATGGCCATCTGGCCAGGGATGTTCTGTACCACACATTCACTGACCTCGCAGTGAGGACTTGATAACTGCATTACAATACACTTGTCCAGGCCACAATTGTCAATGCGATCATTTATCAGTTCAATATTCAGTTGAAAAATTTCACTATAGAGAGCCTTTTATAGAGAGCCTTAAGTATAAATCTTTGATTTATCAACCACCTTGGGATTTTTTTGTTTATTTTTATTTTTTTCACAGTACCTCATACAATGCTTTGCATAGAAATATATGTTTGATCAATACTTGGGAAATGAACAAATTTATTCCCATCCCCTTTCCTCTGCCCACCTGGAACAATCACACCTTTACAGCAACCCAAACTCTTACTTTCTTCTTCACCTGTATTTTAGCAAAAAGAACAATAAGCTTTAAATTACAATAACTGATTTTAAGTAGAAGTGAAGCTATAACTCCTTCCTACAGAGGAATATCAATTAATACATGTGGAAGGAATGAGAAAAATAGAAAACAACTAGAATACCATAATAATCATAACAGTGAGCAAGATCCAACAACAGATGCTAAAAAACAGTGAGTAAAATATTAGCAGAAACAGGATAGTTTCAAAGTATTTTCTCTCATAATGTTTTATAGTCACAAAGGAGAAGTGGTGCATTTATAAGGGAGAAACCCAGCAGATGCCATCCTGACCAATGACCAGGATTAATTTCACCAACAGTGCATATCAGCATCATCTGATACGTCCTGAGAATGACACATCATCTCGGCAGTAGCCTTCCCAATGCCTTCAATAATTACAAGAAAACATCAGACAAGCTGGAACTGAAGGACATTCTACAAAACAACTCATCAGTACTCTTCAAAAGTGTTAAGATCATGAAAGACAAGGAAAAACTGTGAGGAACTGTTCCAGATGGTGAAATTTAAGGAGACATGACAACTGACAGTAATGTGGGAATCAAAACTGGATCTTAAGAAAGAAAAAGGACATCATTGGAAAAACTGGAGAAATCTTCCTAAAGTCTGTTCTTTAATAGCTTGTTCTGTAACAAGGTTATTTTTTTAGTTTCAATATTGTTCTACGATTATATAAAATGTTAATATTAGGAGGGTTGGATGGAGGATTTATAGGAATGCTCTGCATGATTTTAGTAATTTTTCATAAACTTATCTCAAAATAAGTTTAAAATGAAATAACTGAGCTCAAGTGCTTAATACTGCTACCATCCATGGCCTGTTTATAGGCAAGTCACTTAGCCTCTCTGAGGCTCACCTTTTATCATCTCTAACATTAGAGGAACAGCACTTAGCTTTTGTTAGTGTGAGGTCAAAATAAAATAAGACACCTGAGACATTTTTAAAACTGTAGACTCTTTCTTTAAAAAACATATTATTTTTATTACTATTTAACCCCTGGCCTTCCTGCTTCATCCATCTAGGATATACAGGATATTCAGTTAAATTTGAATTTCAGATAAACTATAATTTTTAGTATAAGTATGTACCATGTAATATTTAAGACATATTAAAATCATATTTTTATTTATCTGAAATTCACATTTAACTGGGTATTCTGTATTTTTATTTATTAAATCTGGCAATCCTACTTCCACCTAACTTCCAACACTCTGTGCCTTTATTTGACACCCTGTCCTTCCCTTTGCAGCCACTATTTACACAAGCTGGTGCTCTCAGATCTGAGAGCCCCCTGGCACCAAGATTCCCTCTAAACACTATGGCGGCCCATGCTTCAGGGGAGACAGATGAAGGTGAGTCAATAACAGGACTCTGACACTGGCAAAGTGAGTTCACGGGGAACGTGTAACTCAGAGGAATTTTCTCTTTCTGGCTTGCAATTGTGAAAAACTTGTTTTTAAATTGTTAGGGTATTTTTATTAACTAGCTCTGATAACTGCCCAGTGATGTGTCCTATGCAGATTTTTAAGCCACAGGGAGAAAGAAGAACCCCCAAAGTCCAGCAGATAGAACACCTCTCAGAACCCGTGGTATGGTTTTGAGGACGGGGTGAGAGAGGAAAAGAGAAAGCCTTTGAGCAGAACACTTTCATGTACATCAGCTGACCACACTGGGAAAGTAGGCCTGTTTTCACTTTCTTGAGAAACTGAGGCTGAGGGAAAGCAAAGAACTTAGACTCTCTCTAGCTCATAAAGAAATGATCACCTTTTTCCTTATAGTCACTCACTGCATCTACTTCTTATTTCTTTTCCATAGCATCTGGCCATCAAGGCTTTACGCAAAGGCCACTCTTTTGTGAGTTTCCCATCTAATTCTCCAAAAAAAGCTGTGGTTTATTTTTCTCTGACTCTCCACATTATTTTGAAAAGAAAAAGATCTTTACCTCTGGCTATAGCCACATGTCCACATTTTATCTCCCTTTCTGGCTTCGAGGGCAAAGACTGTGTCACGTGCATGTCAAGATTTCCTACAGCACCTCCAAAGCAAAGGTGAGACTTTCCACACTGGGAGATGAGAGAACCAAATCCTGGTTCTGACTGACCACTAACAATGCACATTGGTAACAGTGCAAATGGTTGCAGGTACAGTTTTAACACTGGGCAATAGCTTCTGTTTATTCACATATATAATTGCGTAGGTGATTTCTCAGCCCCTCCCAAGTCTGACATTCTACCCTGTAGGATTCGATACCTGACAGAGCAGGCATGTGAGGAATGGTCTTGTGCTACCGGCTCCTTCCGAGCTCTTAAAACAACTTACTGTGGGTATCACATTTTCCTTTTCAGTTGACACACCTTTGTTTCCTTCTCCCCACCTTGGAGGTGTGTCGGAAACCTTAAAAGCAAGGCACCTCTACAGGAGACATCTCAGACTCCAAGGACTCCACTGAGATAGCAGTAACAGCAATTCCGTGAATCAAAATCACACACCCTTGGAGCATCTTGCCCCCCAAGCCACCTTCTGAAAGGGTGTCTGCTGACTCCAAGAGAAGATTCAGATTTTTCTACTCAACAGTAGTCACAAGTGCATATGTGGCTTTACAGGATCTTCCTGCTAGATTTAAGCAGAGTAACACTGTTATCTCTCTGGGCCTCCAGTCACCAGCTCTTTTACAGTGGAAACCCTGTAAGAGTGGCTCCTCTTTCCTCATAGTTTGGTAGAAAGCAAGTAAGACACACCCAGCAACCAGATATAAAGTGCATGCCACATGCCAGGTACCAAGAACTTCACATGTAACATTAAATCTTTTTAAAGCCCTCTAACTTTT